GAACTTTAGCAGTGTCTGAGTGAGGTACGAAGAAAGTAACGGGAATGAGCCCAGTGTAAGGAGAGATGGATACTCGCGTCTTCTGTGCGAGGAGGAGGTGTGTGAGCAGAGGAGGAGGAGGAGCAGCGAGACAGGTGTGTGAGCGCTGTTATTGCCAATGTTTAGTCCGAATATCCACATCAAAATCATATTATAAAAGCATTAGCAAACACTGTATGCTAGGGCTGGGCGATTAATTGATTTTAATCATTAATTCGAGTTTTACGTTTAGGGCGATTTCTTTTTTAAAAAATTCGATTTTTATTTTCTCCAGCGCAGAACTACAGCGCTAACGCGCTAACCGCGGGTCTATGGTGTTGAGCAGTCATTTTGAAGCTAACCTAATGCTAACAGTCTCCCTCTGGCCTGATGCTCGCTGTCACAGTTGGTGCTGTTGCAATAACACTTCAAACGTTCAAGAATCAGACTTTATTTAAATCGCCAAAACACACACACACACGCACGCAGGCTCCGGTCGCTATGTTCGTACGCCATGTTCGTACGCCACATCTCTCACGCTCGTTATTCCAAAGCGCACTCCCGTGTCCGTGGCGCGCACACACTCGTGTCCCACTGAGCCGCTGCACTTTGGGGAAAGACACGTCTCACACATTGCTCTCATTGCTCTGATACAAACAACGTGTTCCCCGCTGTCTGTTAGCTACAGTAGCTGCTACAGTAGCTGTTAGCTACAGTAGCTGCTACAGTAGCTGTTAGCTACAGTAGCTGCTACAGTAGCTGTTAGCTACAGTAGCTGCTACAGTAGCTGTTAGCTACAGTAGCTGCTACAGTAGCTGTTAGCTACAGTAGCTGCTACAGTAGCTGTTAGCTACAGTAGCTGCTACAGTAGCTGTTAGCTACAGTAGCTGTTAGCTACAGCATCAGAATGTAAACAGGAAGCTCGCACAATGCGGGAGTCACTGAAGTTAGTATTAGCGCCACCAGCTGGACCGAGCGTTGTACTACAGCACAGTTACTCAGGCACAGTTGAAAGAACAAGCATGAAAACCCGAGGAGGCTTTTGGAAAAGACTGTCTGTTACAACATTTCTATTTTGAGTAATCAGTTTTAAAAATGTGATATTTCATGTAAATAATGCATGTGTTTAATAGGATTGATATATTTGCGATGGGCCTTGTTTGTGTGATTTAAGTTATTTTGAAGGTGCATAGTGTCATTGTAAGTGAAGTTATTATAAAACTGTTAAGCTACATTTTCACTGTTTACAATGGCAGAGCCATCTCGTTTACAAGCATGTTTTAAGGCTTAATTCCTGTTACACTTATGCTCCATGGGGATTTAGATTAAACTGCATAAAGGAAAATCTATTTCTTTGTCAGTTGTAGTTTGTTTTTAAATAGAAAAAAATAAATCGATTTAAAATCGAAAATCGGATTTGGTGTGAAAAAATCGGAGATTTTTTTTTTTTGCCATATCGCCCAGCCCTACTGTATGCCCAGCTTTAGTGCCCACTGCGAGTGCAGTGGATTTTGGGCATAAAACGCCTTGTTGTGGTCAGAGTGTGTGGAGGAGGTGGAGGAGGAGGAGTAGGAGGAGAAGGAGCGTATGTTGTTGTCAGAGTGTGTGGAGGCATGGCAAAAACGTTATTTGATGAGAAAAAAAATGCAACAAATATTGACTCTGCATTTTGCCGTAATCTAACTATTTCAAGAAGATGACTCCTTTTGGTTCAATCTTTTGAGTTGCTATGCCATTTTGCCACAGGACGAAGGAGCCATATCAGCTAAAAAGACTGCGACCAATATCGCAATGCCAAACACCGTAACAGTGTGTGTGTGTGTAGCATGTCGAGGGTCGTGGGCTCACAGAAAAAGAGTAAGCCAAATTACCAGCAACGCCAGGGTTTTTAAACCCAAAATAAAATACTAACGCCCTAAGGCACACAGGTAAGTTCATACAAGGAGGCTTGTTCCATGAGTGAGCACATTTATTAAATAAATTTTCTCGCTCTCTTTAGTTTGTCACAAGTATACAAAAGTTAGTCATACAACAACTAGTTCACAGTACGTGATGACAATCGTCCATGTGTCTACTCGTAGTGAAATAAAAGACAAGAAAAGTAAGGCAGAAAAGAAAGGCGAGATGGCAGCGGGGGTCACGTCCAGATCTTGCATCCTGCCTGGAAATAAAATATTAGAAAACGGCAGGAACATGATCTGCTTTCCAGGGCAACAACTCGCGCTAACCTGGAACACTATCATTGTGCACGGTCAGTAGGCCGTTGTGCACAACATCCTGGGTCCAGGTAAAGGGCAGGCAGCTGAGCCAGTGACAAAGGAACGCAACCCATTACAGCACACCCTTAGGCCACAGAAAAGCAGTTCAATTAGTAAAGACGTGAGATTATTAAAAAGTCTGAAGGACGCTACCTGTACTGTCAGGAGGGTGGACACGGGAGGCGGAAGTCTGCGTGGCATAGACAGAGAGAGGCGCACTGAGGCATTTTATACCTCCTTGCGCCTCCTGCTGGTGGCCAGGTAGATCCACATCACCACATGTGTGTGTGTCTGTCTGTCTGTGACGCTGCTTTGGAGCGAGGACACGCAGCTGCGTGCGTGCTGTTGCTCTTCATGCACTGCGCGAGGCGGTGCTGAATTCATGTCAAAGATTATAACAGGGAAAACTTTCCTCAGATCTGGGAAAAAAGTTCGCACAGGGCCTCGCACCCCCCTTGCGACGGGCCTGGTAGTCATCTCAGAGTACTTAACAGAACTGTTGAAATCGTTATCGGAGAACAGAGAATCAACAGTTTTGACACAACAAATATAGAACACACAGGTATTGGTCCATGGGGAGTTGACCAAAGTCCATGAATGTTGATAAATGTCCATACATGTTGTATAATGTTAGTGTCCTGGATCATTCTTCTTGTTAGACACTAACTGCCCAACAGACCCTTCTGCATTGGCAAGGAAAAACTCGAAAACCCAGTTGGTAAAAAAAGTGAGAAACCTCGGGGAGGTCCACATTGAGAGAGGGATCGGCGAGGACCAAGGTCACACAGTGATTGTAGAACGTGTTCAGGTGCGGTGCAGGATTGAAGCAATTCCTAGGCGGGGAGGGGGTGTAGCCCACAAGGAGGGTCGGCAGGGCAGTCCACAGGTGTAGATGGAGAGGGCCAGGTTCATAGGTCCTGCTGTTGCGCCGTGAAACAGACAATGGGCATTGACCCTAGGCTCAAGCTTGTAACAAAGATTGAAAAATACAGCGGTTTCCCGGACCAGGTCCCGCACAAGCAGGAATGAATGTAGAGACCGTATCTGCTTCCTTAATGTGAATGGGAAGCTGATTCCACAGTAAAGGAGCTTGGTAGCTAAATGGTCTGCCGCCGACAGTGCTTTTTGAGACCTTAGGAACCATCGGATAGCTGGCGTTTTGCACCAGTGCTTGGGTTGGTTGGTATGACACTCACGTGTCTTGGAGGTAAGAAGGAGCCGTGCCCTTTTTGGCTTTGTATGTTAAAACAAGGGATTTTAAATTTAATTCTGTACTCCACAGGCAGTGGAGTTATTTTAACACAGGAGTTATGTGCTCCCTCCTTTTGGTTCCTGCTGTTGTATTTTGAACAAGCTGAAAGCTCTTCAAAGAGGTTTTAGGGCATGCTGCCAGCAAAGCAATACAGAAATCAAGCCTTGAGGGGATAAAAGCCAGGATCAGTTTTTCCGCATCACTTTTAGGAAGTAT